GGAAAGAACAGGGCTTGAGCCACCCCTGTGCATGGCTCAGAAGAGGGGGCGCTGGACCAGGTGGGTCAATACAACAGGACTACACAGCAGTAAGGGCGGGGTGGGGAGGCGGAGAGGTGCTAAATTGGGGCAGGCAGATTAACTCCAAACTAGACTTGAACACATCTTGCAGCGTTTGTGTGGGAGGAGCTAAGGTGAGAGTAGGCGGGACCAGAGCCATGTGGGCTTTGAGGGACTGCTGCTCGGGTTGAGGGTGTTGGGGCTGGGGTTTGACACTAAGCCTGTGGAAACCCACAACAGCTCCTCCTGGAGACAGGACAGGCTGAACGCCACTCCACGTGGTTGAAGCCCGCTCAACAGCGGGCAGATCTGGAAGCTGGCGACCTGGCATAGGCCAGAACAACTCGGCTCCCACCGGGTGGGCGGAGAAAAGCTGGGGTTGTGGCGCCACCGCGACGGGGTGGAATTTACATCGTGATGGGAACCGGAATCCGAACAGCCGGCCAGTTCCAGCCTCTCCGGGGCACTCCGCTAACTCACCACACAGCCGGCCCTGGAACTGCAGGCCGAACTCCTGGATGAGGTCGAAGGACTCCACAAGGAAGACGTGCTCATCCAGCGGGGGCGACGCCATGGCGCGCAGGGAGCCCACGTCAGCGCGCTGCACACCCACGGCGTAGATTTCAATGCCGCGGGCGCGCGCCTGTGCCGCCACCTCGGCCACGCGGTCCTGGGGCCGCCCGTCGGTCACGATGACTGCAATGCGCGGCACGCGCGCCTCGGGAGGGCGCGCGCCCTCCGCCTCGCTGAAGGCCACGTTCATGGCGTACTGGATTGCCAGCCCGGTCATGGTGCCCTGCGCCAGCGGCACCAGGGCGCGGATGGCGCGCTCCATGTCCTCCCGGCGCGAGAAGGCACGGAGCGGGAAGACGCTCTGCACTTGACTGGAATACTGGATCACACCAACGCGCGTGGCATTGCGCCCCACGTCCAGGCCCTGCAGCAGGCCCACCAGGAACTGCCGCATCGTCTCGAACTCGAAGGGGCGCACGCTACGGGAGCTGTCGATCACGAACACCAAGTCCAGGGGTCCAGTGTGGCACCTTGGTCCTGTAGGGAGATCAGGAAGGGCCTTCCCAGGTTAGGAAAGCCTTACCTCTGAAGAGACCCCCAGGGAAACCCACAGGAGGCACTGCTACCTGTCCCAGCATATCAGCCCCCAGAATACAATCAATTTAGTAAGCTCAGGTTAGACACATTCACTCATCGGGCCTTTGCTGCGGGCCTGGGCTCGGAGATTGCACAAATTCCCCATCCTCCAACTCTAGGACAGCAGGAGGAGGAGGGAGTGTTCCTCCAGGAGAGGGTGAGGCCATGTGGCAAACAGCGCCTGCCCGCAGGGGCCAGGCGAGCACCTGAAACGACTGAAGCTGTTGGTCAGGATGGTGGGCACCCAAGAGTGGGTGTCCCTCCTAAAGCGGGCAGCTCCAGTCATGTGGCCATGAAGTCTGATGTCAGCATAAGCCTTGATTTTTCAAGAGAAGTCTCAAGTCTGGATTTTTGTGTGAAATCTAATTTTTAAAAACGTTTGTGATTAACTTTTCAAAATGAAACACTGAATAGGCAGCTCTGCAAGAATCCAAAACTAAATCACAGTCTACAGATGCAGCAACCGAGACCCAGAGGGGCCGTGGGGAGCTCAAACCCAGCCTGGTCTGTTGGAAAGCCCTGGTTTTTCTCCCTTGCTGGCCTAACCAGATGCAGAGGGAGAACCTGCTTCTCCCCTCCTCCCCGGTGAGAGTGGGGCCCAGCTCACCTGCAAGCTGGAGCTGGGATTCCCAGGACTGGAGAAGAAACAGCAACACCGACAGGGTTGAACAGAGAAGGCCCCTCATGGTGCCTGCCTGGGGGACAGAAAACGGAGGAGTCGGAGCCTGGAGGGAGGAACGGAGACAGTCAAACAGTAATGTTTATGGAGCTCTTATTCTGGTACAAGGAAGGGAGAGAGGGTCATAGGTTTATTTTATCAGTTTCTCTAGTTTTGTATATGTTCAAAATGTTTCTTTTTTTTTTTTTTTTTCCCTTGGAGAGATTTTCACTGTAGGGCGCGTGCGCTCGCCAGACAGACAGAGACATAGAGACAGAAAGCAAGATCACCCCCCCAGGGGGGATGGTCACGCCGCAATCCCTTCTCCGCCGCAATCCCTTCTCCTCCGTTCTCCTCTCGGGATCTTGGGCACGCATGCACATGCACCCGGCATGAGTTTTAAGCCACTGGATCCGGGACACGAACCGCGGTCGACTACATGGGAGTCCAGCGACATAGCCATTACACTAACTGCCGGTTCCCAAAATGTTTCATAATTTTAAGAAGTGTGTTTATTCATTTGGAGAGAGGTATAGCACCCCTCCAGGGTCTCGATGTTGTGTTCACCCCAGACTTAGCCAGCCAGGATCATGGGCATACGTACGCCTGGCCTACTCAGGGCGTCCTCAGAGTTCTCAGAGGAACCTGTAACCTTCCCCTGTGGTCTGCCTCCCAGAGCAGTGCTTTATTGCTGTACCATCGTCCAGATCCGTAATGTTTCATAAAATAAAAGTTAGAAAAAATGTAGGGCCAGCAGGTGACGTGAAGGGTAAGGTGCTGGATCCCATGGCCAACTGCACAATTTGAGTCCCGGATCCAGCCGCTTGAAAATCATGCCTGGCACGTGTGTGTGTGTGTGTGTGTGTGTGTCCCCAAAATCCTGAGAGGAGATGTCGACAGAGATTGTAGAATGGCTATCCCCCCTGAGGAATGATTTCTCACTTTTCCTCACTCTCTTTCTGTTTATCTGGCCAGCACATGTGACCTAGAGAAAAACTTAAAAACAAACAAACAAACAAACAAACAAACAAATCTTAAAGGAAAAAATAGTTCATCACAGTGGGGTTGCTGGGAAACAAAAGGTAATTTGTGGAACTTCAGAAAGTTATACTTTGTAGCACTGGGGAATCCTAAAGAAATAAAAGTGGATTGAAATATACAAACTTTAAAAAGAAGACAGCCTTCCCTAAAAACCGGGCATAATGCTTTTGGTGCAATGTGGCTTTTAATCGTCTGTACAATTCTCAGACCAGAGCTGCTATTGTTCCCATTACACGGGTGAGGAAACTGAGGTTGAACGAAGTGAAACGCTGCTGCCCAGTGTCCTGCGATCCGAAGTGGCTGCGGCAGGATGAATCCTAGGTCAACGTGGTTCCGTGAGCCTGTCGGTGCGTGGAGTGCCCTCTTCTCCAGCAGGATCAACCTCTGCAGAAAGAAGCCGTTTCCCGCCCCTGCCTCCTCCCTTCTGCACACAGGAGGCTTCTCTGTGGCTGTCCTTGTGACCCCTCCGACACACACGCACAGGCAGACAGACGCGCAACGCCCAACTGCAGGCGGCCGGAAGCGCCACGCCCTCCTGCCGGCCTGTAGGTGAGTGAGCCAAACCTACCCGGCGCAGGAACTCGCCGCTTGGCGCCTCCGCTTCCCGCCTGCTCTCGGAAAAGGCCACCAGGGGGCGCCTGCCCGAGGCTGGCTGCACCCGCTAGGTGGCCGTGGGAAGCCCACATCTGCCCAGCAGGTGCCCTGGCCAGAGCAAACAGGGGACCGGCAGCCCCGGGCCTTGGAGATAAGGCCTACACAGGATATATCCCGCGGAGGGGCTGGGGAGCAGGGTTCCAGGGCCGGCGACGCTGGGCGCACCTGGAGGACGGTGAGTGCGGCAGAGCCTTGAAGCACGGCCATGGACCCTGTGGGGGCAGCAGGTGAGCGCTCACCGTCCCGCGGCCCCAGCGACGTCCCTTGAGCATCATGAAGGACCCCCATTGTACTGATGGGAGAATAGGGGCCCAAGAAGACGGCCTGCCGAACTGCAAGAGAGCAGGACTAGAACCTGGGGCTCCCGGCTCCCCTTCTCTTTCCGGAGCAGCCTGGCCCCCTGGAGCCCCAGAGTCATTAAACCACTTTTCCTCCCACTCCCTTCCCCACCCTCGTCGCCCCGTGCTGAGGCTGCGTAGCCATTTTCCTGTTGCTATTTTCTTGGCAGAGAGGGCCCACGGCCCCTAACCCAACCGCAGGCCCCCTCCCACCCCCGCTCCGTGAATAGGCCTATTCTGAGCGAGGTCGGGTGCCAGCCTCTCACTCTAGGCTGCCTTCCTGTCCGGGCTTCTTCTCCCCCTTCACTTCCAGGCCTCCTAGAGGAACAAAAATTCTTCTGGCAGCACCCGTCCTGGGAGTGACTACGCTAGAGGTGCCAGCAGCTGGTGGGGGCGTGAGGGTGGGGACTTGAGCCACAGCCCAGGCAAGCACCCCTAGGGAACATGAGAGGAAGGCCCTGGGCACCCAGGCCTTTGCCACCCTCCATCCTTTTCTACCGTCAGAAGCTTCCGGGCCTCCCAACCGTGGCCCCCAAAGCTGCTCTTGGTCTGAGTCAGGTCTCACCTGGCACCCCTCCTCCACCTCAGGAATCCTGAAATCAAATTAGCGGCTGCTCAGAGCTTACCACCTTTCCAACCCTCTCCTGCTACAGAGGAACTAGGTCCAGAGAGGGTAGTGTCTCACCGAAGGTCACACAGCACTCTGGTGGCTGACAATGAAACCCAGGGCGTCTCTGAGGGGTTCATCCTTTCATTAAAGAGAAAGATTCGAGGGTGGGGCCAGGGTGGGCTGGCCAGGGAGAGGCCATCTGTAAATAATTCCTCAGGAGTTGGCTGAGAAATGTACACCTTGGGGATGTTTCTGGGGGATGGTGGGGGGGGGGGGGATTAGGGGAAGGAGTGACGCCGTTTTGGCCGTCTTGCTGGTGGGGCTTATTGGACCCAGCCGAAGTGGAGAAGGGTACTGCGGGTCAGATGGGCGCACCTTAGTCACCCACGGTTAAATACTGTCGCGGGTCTGGCTGAACGCATGCTCCTCTGCAGACCCCTTCGCGCCCCCCGGTCCTTTGACTCACCTGAGCCTGCGGGACAGCTCAGAGGCGAGGCTGCAGATCGGAGCCGACGGGCGGAGCCTCCAGGACAGCTGGACCAGGTAATGGCGTGGGCAGCGTGCCCTAGGTGGGGACTGCCAGGCAGCTGGAGGGAGCCGAGGCGGCCGCATTTAACCCGGGGCTGGCGGGTGGGGAGGGGGAACGCAGGCTGCGACCCCTCCCACCCGCAGGGAGCGAGCCCCCCTTCCTCTGAGGGCTGGGGCGGGGCAAGCGCGGCGCCCCACGCTCCTGCCCGGGTAGGAGCCACGCACCCGCGGCTGGGGCGGAATTCGGCTACAGCCCGAGACTGGCAGCGACACCCTCCGCAGCCGGAATGCTGGAGGCCGAGAGGCACTTCCCTGAGGAGAGCCCCGCGGGAGGAGCGGCCCTGGCTCTGGCCGCCCACTGCCTGGCCCCGCTTCCGAGGGCGCGCCCCTACACTTGCCCTCCGCAGTCCCTCCCAGGAGTAAGGAGAGGCCTCGGACTCCGAGTGAAGGGCTCCTCTCCAGTCCAACATGCAGGTCCCCCAAATCTTTTCCATCATGGCATGCTCCCTGCAATCCTGTAGGCCTTAGGCCACCCCACTCTCAGCCACCAGAACCCCCGGGGGCTGAGAAGCCACCGACGGACCCCAGGCCCTGACCTGGCTCACTCCTCCGAGAGAATGGGCCTTGAGTCCCTGTCATCAGGGAAGGAAAGCCGACCTGCAAGGGCCCTCTTCTCTGGGAGAAAGAGAAAAGGGTTGCCTTGGCTCCAGAACCTCACTGCACCCCCATCCTGGAGACATGTTTTGGGAGCCCTTTCTTGTTTGCAAGAGGTGAAAGAGCACTGCGGGCGGGGGTCCTGCAAAGGCTGTTCCTCCCTGGCATTCCCTACCGCAGGCCCTCACGTACCCTCTCCCCCAGGGCCAGCACAAGTGCGGCCTTTGTCCCATCTGATCCTTCCCGAGGCCCCAGGCTGCAATGGGCATGGAGCCAGACCCATAGGGTGGCACCTGGGTGGTCCTGGTGGGCTCAGTGCAGGCCTCAGTGAGCACAACCCAGGCCAAATTCTTAGCCCAGAGCTTGCACCCAAGTCTCCCCCTTTGTCCAGTATTTTGCCCGGTGACCCTGCGGGGGTAGAATCAGAGTGGCCCCATCCCAGCTTCATTTCACTCAACCTGAGCAGTTGGCTCTGTGCCACCTTCCCCCGACTCTCCCTCCTGCGGCCCATGGCCTCCTCCCGCTCTCCTCCTGCTCCCAGGTCGTGCGCAGAGCCCACCACCGTCCTGAGGGAGGGCGTGCGCCGGGGCCTGCAGCAGCAGTGTGAGCAAACGGTACGCATCCTGCATGCCAAGGTGGCCCAGAAATCCTATGGCAATGAGAAGCGGTAGGTACCTCAGAGGCCCTTTCCAGGTCTCCCCAGCCTCCATTCTTATGCACCCCTTTGCTGGTTTAAACTCTTACACCCCAGGGAGGCCAGGGGCTCAGACCTTGGCTATTGGCCCACCAGGGGCCTAGTCCTCAGGACCTGACAGCCTCTGTCTCACTCTGTAGCAGAACCTCCCTGTGACTCTCTTGGCCCCAATCACTCACTCACTCACCCATTTACTCATTCATTCAACAATTTCTTTCTTTTTCTTTTTTCTTTTTTTGGAGAGGTATTTGCTATAGGGCATGTGCGCTCACCAGAAAGACAGAGAGAGAGAGACAGAAAGCGAGAAATCACTCCCCCCCCAGGGGGGATGGTCACACTGCAATCCCTTCTGCTCCATTCTCCTCTCCGGATCTTGGGCACGCATGCACACGCACCCGGCGTGAGTTTAAGCCACCAGGTCCGGGACTCGAACCGTGGTCGACTACATGGGAGTCCAGCAACATAGCCATTATGCCATCTGCTGGTCCCCAGTCAACAACTTCTTACTGAGTGTGTATGTGCCAGGCACTGGGGCACGCTGGGCACTCTCATGTAGCTGGACAGACAGATGCAGTCCTGCTCTCCTGGCATTTTCCCTCCAGTGTGGAAGAAACAGCCAACTCCTCCCCAGTGGATAAGCACGATTCTTCCTGGTTGTGAAGAGAACTGGAAAAACAGAACGGGGTGATGCGTTAGAAACCAAAGGGAGGGTAGGTTAGCTTCTCAGGCCACAGAGATTGACAGGCTGGTTAGCAAGTGACATCTGAACTGAGACTTGAATGTTAAAATGAAGCCCGATATGAGAACTGGGGAGCAGCAGGTTCCAAGTAGAAAAAGCAGAAGATGCAAAGTTCTTGTAGCTGTGGAAACTGGGCATGTTTGAGGTACAAAAGCCAGAGTGGCTGGAATTACAGAAAGGGAAGTAGGCGGGAGAGGTGAGGCTGGGCCAGATCACATGAGGACTTCGAATATTAACCCACCAGAGCAGCTGGAGAAGAGGAGTGACATAATTTGACTTTTCTTTTAAGTGTTCTGGTGAGGCCAACAGATGGCATGGTGATTGAGTGCTGGATTCTCATGTGGCTGATGGTGATGTTCGAGTCCCGAACCCAGTGGCTTGAAAACCACGGCGGCATGCGTGCATGCATGCCCCAAATCCAAATAGGAGAATGGAGAAGGGACTGCAGTGTGGACACCCCCCTGGGGGGTGTGTGATTTCTCATTTTCTCTCTCTCTGTCTCTCTCCGGTGAGCATACACACCCTATGGCAAACACATTTTAAAGAAGGACTCTGGCTATGTGTGGAAACAATTTGAAGGGGGGCAGTGGAAACAGACACCAGTCGGAAGGCCAGCTCACCGGTTGCAGGCAAAACGTGGTGGCAGTTGTCAAGAAATAAGAGTTTCTGGATACCTTTTGAAGGTGCAGTGGATAGGGCTTGAATGAGGAGTGTTAAAACGGGGATGTTAACGAGGCTCACAGTCATGGAAAAGCCAGGACAGGGAGAAGGAAATAGGGATTCAGCTGGGTTAGATTACTCTGAGTTGCTTACACCGCCAGCACCCACGTGTCTCCGCAGGTTCTTCTGCCCCCCGCCATGTGTCTACCTCACAGGTCCAGGCTGGAGGGTGAAGCCAGCGCCGGGCCAAGGTAAGGGCTGCTGGCTGTTACCTTTCAGTGGGGACCACGACGGAGGGCCGGGAGCGCTGCGGTTGGCAGTGCAGTCTCACTGCGCCCTCTGGCGGCGAGAACTAAGCTTGTCTGGCTCCTGAGTCCTGAGTCCTTCCAGAGCCGGCTCGCGTCCCTTTCCAGCCCACCAGGCGGGGGAGACCGGGCCCACCGTCTGCGGTTACATGGGACTGGACGGCGCGTCCGGCAGCGCAGCCGAGACGCAGAAGCTCAATTTCGAGGAGCAGCCAGACTCCAGGGTGAGAGCGCACGGGAAGGGGTCCGATTCCTGCGATCTCTGCCCCTCCCTAGGAAAGCAGGACTTCTTTACACCCCTCTGGAAGTCAAGAGATGGGAGGGCGGCCGGGAGGCCAGGGTTCTGCCTCGAGGCCGAGCCCCAGAGCCTGGATTGTGGAGCTGGTCGCTCGGAAGGGGCGGACGTCGATAACCGGGAGGGCTGGTTCACTGGGGGGGCGGAGGGCTGGGCTGAGACCGCCCCATCCCGCGAGCCCCCTAGGAATTCGGCTGCGCCAAGACCCTGTACATCTCGGACGCAGACAAGAGAAAGCACTTCCGACTGGTGCTGCGGCTGGGGCTGCGAGGGGGCCGGGAGCTGGGCCCCTTCCACAGCCGCCTCATCAAGGTCATCTCCAAGCCCTCGCAGAAGAAGCAGTCGCTGAAGAACACCGACCGTGAGCCGGGCGGCCGGGTGCCTGGATTATAGGGGCGCAGAGTGAGAGAGGTGGAATTTGAGGCCAGACTGAGTAGAGTCTGCCTGGGCACCACACAGGTCTGGGGTGACCGGAAAGAGAGAAAGCAAGGGGAGGACACCAGACTTGAGGGAGGGAGTTGGGGACCCAGAGCAAGTGCTGAATTGGGGTTGGACTAAAAGGGACGACAAGGGGCGGAGAAAATGCAGTTAAACTGGACCAGCAGATGGCATAATGGTTATGTCGCTGGACTTCCCCATAGCCGACCGACCTGGGTCGGGGGAGTCCCCACTCGGCAGCTTAAAACTCACACCAGGCGCTGTGCGTGCCCAAAATCCTGAGAGGAGAATGGGGGAAGGGATTGCATCTTGGCCATCACCCCTGGGGAGTGATTTCTAGCTTTCTGTCTCTGTCTCTGTCTCTGTCTCTCTGGTGAGCATGCATCCCCTATAGCAAAAATCTCTTAAAAAATCAGTTAAATGTCCCCTTTGGTGATCAATGCCTGCCACAAAGCAGCACTTGGTGGCTACTTGATAAAATCGTGTTCCTTGAATCCAAGGAGTTGGGTCAGCAAAAAGGAGCGTGCAGGGACCAGCCCCTGGCCTGGTGGTTAAGGTGGCCGGATCCCACATTAGTTCAAGTCCTGGACCCAATGACATGAAAAACGTGCTGGCCGCTGGTGCATAGGGGTCCAAAATCCCAAAATGAGTGAGAAATGGAGGAGAAGGGATTTTGGAGTGACCATGCCCGGTGTGTGTAGGGGGGTGCTGGTCTTCGGTGCTTTCTCACTTTCCATCTCTCTCTCTCTCTCTTACTCTCTCTAGCGAGTGCACTAGCCCTCTGACAAAATAAAAAATAAATACACTAATTAAAATACAAAAGGCCCAGGCACTCTCAGAAGCAGGACCACTGCAGGTACTAGATAAATCACTGTGACCTCTGAACATCCAGTGTGCCTTGTCCAGGGGCTCGTTAGCCAAGCCGGTGCAGGGGCGGAGGATCAGAAAGTGTCTAGGAAGCCCAAGGGGCCAGCGTGCTGACTTCACCTCCCCTCGCAGTGTGTATCTCCTCGGGCTCCAAGGTCTCCCTCTTCAACCGCCTACGCTCCCAGACGGTCTCCACGCGCTATCTCTCTGTGGAGGACGGGGCCTTTGTGGCCAGTGCAAGACAGTGGGCTGCCTTCACGCTCCATCTGGGTGAGGACACCTACAGGCCTAGGCTGGGCGCTTCATATAGTTGGGCTTATTCAGTCTTCCCTCCACACCTCAAGGAAGGTCAGACCTTCTGGCCCGCAGCCCCAGAGAGTCAGTGACTGCTCTGAGCAACTCTGACTCCAATGACTCTGAGCAACTGACTCCATGCCCTTTCTCCTCAAGTTCCCCAAGCTGCCAGCCCCTAACCCCTGTCTCCAGGACAGACATGAATGAGAATGACCTCTCCAAGATTCGAACATTCAGCCTTAGCTACTTCTCTGAGTGCCAACTCTTCACACAAGGGTTGTGTGTGATGTGAAGTGGAGCCAGAGGCAAGAAGGAAGGGTTTGGGGGAGAAATGTTGGGACCCTGAAATCCTCGTTCTTCCCTTTCTTTCCTCCTCAGCTGATGAGCACTGTTCCGAAGGGGACTTCCCACCCCGAGAGGGCTACGTTCGCTATGGCTCCCTGGTGCAGCTAGTCTGCACTGTCACCGGCATCACGCTACCTCCTATGGTATGGGGAGAGAAGGTGTACCTGGAGGGGATGCCCCAGGTCCATGTAGAGGGTACGGCCCCGCAGGCAGGTATGAGGGGGAGATACCTATTCTCAGTCTGCCAAGCCTCAGTGCTTTCTGGGACTGGATGGAGGTCACGGGACAGGGCATCCACTGGTGCCCACGTGGCTCCTGGGAGCGCAGCGCTCACGCCCACCCTTCCCACCAACCTTCCACTATAGATCATCCGCAAAGTAGCCAAGCAGTGCGCACTCCTCGACGTGGACGAGCCCATCTCCCAGCTGCACAAGTGCGCGTTCCAGTTTCCAGGTGGTGCCCCAGGAGGGGGTGGCACCTACTTATGCCTCGCCACCGAGAAGGTGGTGCGATTTCAGGTGAGAAGCAGAGAATACCAGCACCAAGCATCCTGGGACGTGAGACCGCAGGGAGCCGTAGACCGCAAGGTGACGATTGCCACTTGCTGAGCGGTGCCACCTCCCTTGGTGTGTCAGAATCATAGACACCAGGACAGGGTCATCGGGAAAGTCGCATTTTTGCATAGAAAAGTATATCATGAATTTCCCAAAGACCTAATAGAATGCGGAAAACACAGGACTGGCTGGTGTTACAGTGGTTAAGGCAGCTGGATCTCACGTGACCAACTGTGAAGTTCAAGTCCCAGACCCTAGTGATTTGAAAAACATTCTGGGCATGTGTGGGTGCATTCCCAAAATCTCGAAAGGAGGAAGGAATAGAGGAGAAGGGATTGTGGTGTGACCACCACCACCCCACCCCCCGCCGTGTGTGTGGGGGTGCTTCCTCTCTCTCTCTCTCTCTCTCTCTCTCTGTCTCTCTCCCTGATAATGCATACTCCCTCCTGCAGACTTTTTCAAAAAAGGAATATGGAAAAGATAGCACTGATTAATATTATTGGGCAATACTTCTTCCCAAGGAATATTAGAATCACAGAATGTTGGAATATAAAAAGGTAGACTGTGGAAAATAACTTATTACTAAGCAGTAGTACTCTCAAAAGAATACTATCTCATAGAATGTTAGAAGATGGGATCATAATATGTAGAAAATATCAATGATTGTTACTGAGTAATATTCCTTCCCAAAGAATAGTAACATTATAGATTTTTAGAGCATAGAATTGCACATTAGAAAACCAGCGAGTCCAACGATCTCATTTAAATGGTGAGCAAACTAAAGGGGCTTGTCTAAACTTCCTGGTCAGGTAAACCATGGGGCTTCAGCTTAATATGGAAGCCCCGGGCACTATTCTGGCTCCCCCACGCTGCTGGTTACCATCCAAAGCTTCAGCCACACCCCCTGTCTCCTTCCAGGCCTCGCTCTGCCCAAAGGAGGCGAACAGGGCACTGCTCAACGACAGCTCCTGCTGGACCATCATCGGCACCGAGTCAGTGGAGTTCTCCTTCAGCACCAGCCTGGCTTGCACCCAGGAGCCCGTCACTCCCGTGCCCCTCATCAACACCCTGGAGGTGAATCTGGGTGTTGGGGGGCGCTGGCTGGCACTGGAGGGCGTGGACCCTGCCTGCCTTGAGGGTGGGGATGCTGGTGAGGAAGGGCAGTGGCTCCTGACCCTACTGACCAGGAACTCCCCCTGGCTCCTGGATCCACTCTCTCCCAGCTGAGCGGCGGGGGCGATGTGGCCACACTGGAGCTCCACGGAGAGAACTTCCATGCAGGACTCAAGGTGTGGTTTGGGGACGTGGAGGCAGAAACCATGTACAGGTATGAGGTGAGGGAGGCAGCCTCCCAGGGGCCCAGGGAGCAGGTTGGGGGAATGCAGGGAATGGGAGTGGGGGGTGAAAGGTACAGGTCATCAGTGTCACTGCCCGGTAAACCCGTACCCCCGCAGGAGCCCGCGGTCCCTGGTGTGCGTGGTGCCGGATGTGGCCGCTTTCGGCAGCGACTGGCGCTGGCTGCGCACGCCCATCACGGTGCCCCTGAGCCTCGTGCGCGCCGACGGGCTCTTCTACCCCAGCGCCTTCTCCTTCACCTACACGCCCGAGTACAACGCGCGGCCCAGTGCCCCCGGTGCCCCTGAGCCGGCCACAGACGCCGACACGCTCCTGGAGAGCATCCACCACGAGTTCACACGCACCAACTTCCACCTCTTCATCCAGACCTAGGCCGCCTTGGCGCCTGCAGCTCTGCTCAGGTCTGAGCTCGGCCTGCGTCGGGTCCTAGGCCCTCCGCCCAGCCCTTTGCTGCAGTAGGACAGTGGACAGCAGATAGCTGTCCAAAGAAACCCAGCCGCGAGGGTCTTACCTGTCACTCACTCGCCCGTATACATGCAGAAAGCCACATGGACAGTTGACAATGCTTTCTTTGTGTCACGTGCGTGGCTGTCTGTCTCCACCATTTTTCTCTATCTCTGCCCCTCTCTTGGTCTCTGCTTCAATAACTTCATCTGTGGATTTGTTTGTGTGTGCTCATTTCTCCCTATTTGTCTCTCTCCGGCTCTCCCTGTGTCTCACACACTATTTCACACACTCTGAGGAGCTAAGCCTGGGGTGTTTACCCTGCAGCCCCCTGACCCCCTAGTGAAGAGCAAGGGTATACTTTCACACCCCCAGGCCTGAGGCGCAGGCTCCTGAGGCAGGGGCGGCGTGCCCTGGATCATCAGGTCCTGCCCGGAGTACTAGGTCTCACCTGGAGTGCTAGGTATGACCTGGAGTACTACATCCAACCTGGTGTACTAGATCTGACCTGGAGTACTAGGTCTCACCTGGAGTACTAGGTATAACCTGGAGTACTAGGTATGACCTGGAGTACTAGATCCAACCTGGAGTACTAGGTCTCACCCGGAGTACTAGGTATAACCTGGAGTACTAGGTATGACCTGGAGTACTAGGTCTCACCCAGAGTACTAGGGCTCACCTGAAGTTCTTGGTATGACCTAGAGTACTAGATCCAACCTGGAGTACTAGATCCAACCTGGAGTACTAGATCTGACCTGGAGTACTAGGTCTCACCTGGAGTACTAGATCCAACCTGGAGTACTAGATCTGACCTGGAGTACTAGGTCTCACCTGGAGTGCTAGATCTGACCTGGAGTACTAGGTCTCACATAGAGTACTAGGTCTCACCTAGAGTGCTAGATTTGACCTGGAGTACTAGATCTGACCCGAAGCATCCAGGTCTTGCCTGGAGTACTAAATCTCTCCTGGAGTACTAGATCTGACCTGGAGTACTAGGTCTGACCTAGAGTACTAGATCTGACCTAGAGTACTAGGTCTCACCTGGAGTACTAGGTCTCACCTGGAGTACTAGGTCTCCCCTGGAGTGCTATGTCTACCTAGAGTACTAGGTCTCACCTCGAGAACTGATCTTGCTGGAGTATCAGGCCCCACTGGATCCCACGTGGAGCCCTGGGTCCTGCCCTCCCTACACTCCCTACGTGTGGGGCTGAGCTTGCTCTCTGGCTCAGAGTTTTGGTGGCCAGGCAGGTGCCTGTGATCGTGGTGGGGTCTTGCTGCCTTAACTACGCCCGTCACTTCTGCAGACCTAGTAGGTTTCACACCTGAGAAGCAGGGATTCCTTTGCTCTCCAAGGCAGAGTCTGAGCTGCATTACACATCTCCCCAAGAACAGAGGTATCCCTGGTATACCTCCCTCTGAACCCCCTTAGCCACAGAGAGAGAGAAGGAAGAAACCTGCACAGTAAAAGGAACCATGAGTGCGATGGAGCAGAGAGCTTGCCTTTTTGACCCTTTCTAGAGGAGGCACAAGGTTCAGAGGCAGCGGCCTCCTGCCCATTTGTGCCCTGGGGCCGCTGTCAACTCTGGGGATGAGTTATCCTTCTAGCTATCACCCCGTCCTGAGTAAGGATGCATTGTAGACCCAGAGGTGAATGCAGGACCCTTTCAGGACAAAGCTTTCCCAGGACAGCCCCAGCAGACCTCCCGGGAGTGACTGGCATGGCACCTCTAGCTAAGAGAGGGCTTTCCTACATAGGGCCCGTGGGCCGAAGCACGCCCTGTCCCTGCTCAGCCTGCCCTCTGCCCGGTCTGCTTTACAGGGAAGCAAACAAGCGAGCGAAACACAAACAAAACAGTCCAAGCCCAGCTTGACCTGTTGGAACTCAAGACACATGTCACGTGTGCCAGCTACATGTACCAGTCTCTGGTGGTGCCCGATAGGGAGCTATGGTCTGAAATGTGGGTTCTCATTCTTAATCCCCTGGGCCCTTGGTCTTCTAAGGAAGAGCTCATTTCCTGGCCAACTTCCCCAGAACGAGGAAAGTCCCATGAGAAAGAAGTTGACATTTCACAGAGGAGGAAATGGGGTTTCCTCTTTAGAACCCCCCCAAAGTCTTGGTTAAGTTCTGTCATCTGCCATCAGCCAGCCGAAACCCACCACAAGGGGCAGGGGAGAAGCTCACTCAGAGCCCCACTGTCCCCTAAGAGTGAATCCTGACTGAGGGCTACAGGGGATATATAGAAGGGGAAAACATCCCTGCAATGTGTACCTGCCTCCGGAGGGTTGGAGCTCCCTGTTTCAGATCTTGTTGAAGCAGGAAGCTAAAGAGGTTGGCCATGAGGCATTCTTTCGGGCACCACATAGTGGGCTGGGCTTAAGCACTCACTCAGCTCTGTTCTCAAGGGCTTCCTCAGCCACTATGCAAGGCAGGAGTTTGAAGACCAATAATCTATCAATACATGGACCTGAAAGCTGGAGACCAGCATAAGGAATTGATGCATTGCTTGACTAGCTATTTGGATGTTGCAATATGATATGAAACCAGCAGGCGGCACTATTCCCCTCCCAGGCATTGACTTTTCTCTCTCTCTCTTTCTTTCTTTTTCTTTCTTTCTTTCTTTCTTTCTTTCTTTCTTTCTTTCTTTCTTTCTTTCTTTCTTTCTTTCTTTCTTTCTTTTCTTTCTTTTCTTTCTTTCCTTTTAAATTATTTTATTTAACTTTATTTGTTTATATTTATTTATTTATTTAAATTTGACCTAGGGGTTGTGGAGAGAAAGTGAGAAAGAAAGTGGCCAGGTTCAGGACTCTATGTGGGAGTTCAGTGCCCTTAACCACCACGCCACCTGCCAGCCTCTTGACTTTTTTTTTCTTTTTCTTTTTTTAAGAATTATTTTATTTAACTTTATTATTATATCATTATTATTTTTCAGTTTGATAAGAGACAGACAGAGAGAGAGAGAGAGAGGAAGTGAGAAAGCAAGCCACCAGGTCCGAGACTTGAACCGTGGTCGGCCATGTGGGAGTCCAGCGCCTTTAACCACCATGCCACTTGCCGGCCCCTTGACTTTTCTTTTATTTATTTACAATGATTTATTTATAGCTTGTTAGGTTCCTAAAAGAAAAAAAATATTTATTTAATTCCATTTGTTATTATTTTTTAATTTGATCAGAGAGAGACAGAGAAATAGAGAAAGGGAAAGTGAAAAAGCAAGCCACCAAGTCCAGTACTTGAACTGCAGTTAATCATGTGGGAATCCAGCACCTTAGCCACCATGCTACCTCCTGGCCCTCCTGAAAGAAAATTTTAACTTTTCACACACTTTGGTCCTTTAGGGGTTCGTCCACGCAATTCTATGTACTCTCGGAGAATTTCCAAAAGTCTAAAAGCCATTTACAGATTGGGTCCTCTTTCCATTAGGATCTACTGAGATGCAAAAACTAGATATTCAGGCCACAGATCAATTGGATTAGAAGCTCCAAGGGTGGAGCCCAGGCAACTGCACTGCCCCTAAATTCTCTTGTGTGATTTTAGTGACCAACCAGGGATAAGAATCATTGGGGCCAGCAGGTAGCATGGTCGTTAAGGTGCTGGATTTCCACATGGCCGATGGGTTCAAGTCCTATACCCAGTGGTTTGAAAATCACAATAAATAAATTTTTTTTCAAAGAAGAATCGAGAATCTCTAGTCCCTATTTTATCTTCATTTTACCAGTGGGAAACCGAGGCCCTGAGAGAGGAGGCTGAGAATCCAAAGCAGGCCAATGGCATAACCTATATGGACTTGAATCCTATAGTCCCGACACTAAGGCTGGGCTCTGTAGTTCTCTAGATTGTTGTACCACACTTCTGGGTTTAGGTAAAGTGTGTGTTGCAGGGACCAGAGAGTAGGGGAGGGAGCAAAATAGGAGGATAAGACCAGAATCTTTGTTCCAAAATCTCCCAGTTCAGCAGCTCTCCTGCTGCCTGAGGCCCCACCATGAACAAGCTGGTTTCCCTGTTTTAAGTGCTGACGTTTTGCTTCTGTTAAGTAAGGACTTGAGCAAAGAGAAACTAGTTATAGCCACAGTGCGCATAGAATTCAGATGCCTCCCTGGGGACGGTGTAATCTGCAGAGAGCACAGACCATGAAGATGTCAAGGGAGACAGGAAGTGGCTCTAAGGGAAGTGAAATCAATCAGACTGTCCCCACACGGGTCAACCCTGAGCACACTCACCAAAAAAGGGCCCCTAGTCAGGTTTGGCTGTGTTCCAAACCCCAAGGGACAAAGGCAGGTGGTGGTGGTGGCACAATAATGCTTTCAGTGGGCAGAATGGTAAACACCTGCTATAGCTGGCTGCTTGCCACTGGGAAAGGGGGTGGGGGAAGAACAGGCAAAGGTCTGGGGAAGGCAGAGCCTTGTGACCAACTTCGGTATGGACTCACCCTGGTTAAAGAGTGCATCCCCAAGTCTCCATTTGGTTCAAAACATCCTCCTCTCAAGCCCTGGCTGCTGCCTGAAAGTGTACCATGAGCACTTCAGCCCACGTAGGCGGATTCTGGCTTCTGTCCTGGTAAACATACACTACATACTCCATGTATGAAGAATAAATAATATATGTAAAGAACTTTGAACAGGGTGTGGTCCACAGTACCCATTTATATGAGCTAGTGCTGTCATTGTCTTGATTCCAAAAGCCCCATTCAGAGACGAACCTAACGCTGAACTTCCCCTCCATTTAAAAGCTGGGGAAACTGAGGCTCCAGAGGAGGTAAGTGACCTTCCTTATTAATTTCATACGTTGCAAAACGAATGACCACAAAAGCAGTAGGTTACCACACACATTTATTGCCCCAGGGTTTCCATGGCTCAGCTGGATCTTCTGCTCAGGATCTCCCAAAGCTGGAATCCACAAGTCACCAAGGGTCATGGTCTCTCTGAGACAGATTCCTCTTCCACGCTCAGATGATTGTTGGCAAAATTCCTTTCTTTGTATCTATCTATAGAACTCATGGCAATTTGCTTCTTGAAGATCAACTGACTGAGTCAGGCCCATCCAGGGTAATCTCCCTTTTTACTAACTCAAACAGCAACTAATTTGGGACATTAACTACATCTACAAAATCCCCCCACCAAATAGAATCCAATCATATTAACAGTGCCTGCTCATGTTCAAAGGGAAGAAATTATACAGGTTGTATAATATGCCAGGGGGACAAAACTTTGGAGGATCATTT